CCCAGAGCTGGACGGGTAAGCCAAATAGAACAAAAGAGGGAGGGGCTAACATGAAAACAGGCTTGAGAAGGCTGGCAACAGGCTGGGCAAGGAGGCAAGCGATGACAACTCATGGCTGTTGGCTCAGGAGTATTCCTTCCAAGGCCAGCTCCTCTTGACCTCTACCTTGGCTTCTATTTTCACTTGCCTTTGCAGGACATCTACACTATTGGCTATCTCTTCCCTTGGGTGATCATCCTCTTTCTTACAGCTTTCCTTTATGTTTCTAAACACACTTTATCTTATTGAAAATAATATTTCAGCCGGGCATGGTAGCTCACTTTGGGAGCAGAGATGAGAGGATTGCCTGAGTCTAGGGGTTTGAGACCAGCCTGGGCAACTTGGCAAGGCCTTGTTTCTACAATAAGGAAAAAAAAATTAGCTGGGCATGGTGGTGTGTGCCTGTGGTTCCAGCTACTTGGAAGACTGAGGGAGAAGGATCACCTGAGCCCAGCAGGTCGAGGCTACAGTGGCCGTGAGAATGCCACTGCACTCCAGCCTGGGTGACACAGTGAAACTCCTACTCAAAACATATAAACAAAATAAAATAAAATATTGGCTGGGTGTGGTGGCTCACACCTATAATCCCAGCACTTTGGGAGGCAGAGATAAGAGGACTGCCTGATCCCAAGGGTTCGAGACCAGCCTGTACAACTTGGCAAGACCTTGTCTCTACAATAAGTAAAAAAATCAGCCAGATGTGGTGGCATGTGCCTGTAGTTTCAGCTACTTGAAAGGCTGAGGTGGAAGGATTGCCTGAGCACAGCAGGTTGGAGGCTGTGGTAGCTGTGATCGTGTCACTGCACTAAAGCCTGGGCAGCAGAGTGAAACTCCAAGACACACACATAATAAAATAAAATAATCTTTCATCAACGCTATTTACTTATTTTGTCCATTTTTTCCACAGCCTTATGAGGGTCGTCAAAAAATTCATGGGCAACGCATATCATGAAAAAACTAGCCGAGCTCGGTGGCTCAGCCTATAATCCCGCGCTTTGGGAGGCTGAGGTGAGTGGATTGCCTGAGCCCGCGGGTTCGAGAC